TCTAAGGAGAACAGGTGAAGATAAACTCCAAGATGATAATCAAAGTCAGAAGGAAAGGCAGAGTAGCTCTTCAGCTTGCTTTCAGCAAACCCCACACCTATATTTGCCACAAGTAGACAGATCTAGGTTTCAAGGGGGAAAGTTACTTATCATCCTTGACACAAGTCTACCCAACTTGCTTGGCAATCAGACAAGGCTTATAATTGCCTCTCTAAACCTTTCTGGTGGGCCGCAATTTTCAGCCTTCTGCAGCACACTGATTTCTGACCAAAGGATTATGTTTCATCAGTGCCCCATTAAATTAACCTTAGATGGCTGATAGCACCGTGTTCTCACATTCAGTGGAGCCATGAGTTAATGAATCAACCCCCTGAAAGCAAGATGCACTCTCCTTCAAATCACATCCTATCTTGTCGGGAATTTCAAGTTCTTGAAGTGTGACTCTTGTCCTATGATATGTGCAACTCGTTAACAGATATTCACTGAGGAGCCACCCTCTACCAGACAAGGGCCCTGCTCCCAAGGCTTTACAATGCACTTGGGGGATGCCGGTGATGCATACAAACTGAAAATTACCGTGAGTGAGATATTAAGGATGTAACAGGCATGTTAATAGGAAGGAGCTCTGTGGTAAGGACAGAGGCCTGGTTAATTTAGCTACAGCAAGAAAGGTAAGAGAAGCTCTGTTTGGAGGTGACCTTGACCTAGGATTTGGATAAAGACACAGATTTATGTGAAAGGGAGCAGGCAGAGAACAAAGGCTCCGAGGTATGGAAACCAATGCTAAGTTTGGCAAAAGCGAGCCCTATCAGAAGAAGACTTATTGCTGTCATGAAAGTGAGCAGAACCCAACATTGAGGTTGAAAACATCACTTTGGGCTACAACATTGTAAATAAGAAAACAAACAGGAAGGTGAGACAGATATGACCGACGGCTGGCATGAAATGTTGAGCCAGGCAGATGATCCTGAAAGCAGTAGCATTTGAAAAGTACAGACGAGAGATAAATTGGGACAGGAGTTCAAACTTAAAATTACTTTGGAAACAGGCACTATTCAGGTCGACCTCTCATTCTGCATTTGTGGGAAAGACTTTAATGCTCAGTGTGAGGAAACCCTGTTAAGACATATAGACACATCCTAAGTGAGGGACGTAGCGTATGTAAGACGCAGAATTGTGGGGGCTCTACTGACCTCCAGCATGAGTGACATGCTTAACAGCATTCAGTCTCATTACAAAGTCCTTTTCAGACAAAAATAAAGCACATCATTAAAAAGTACTTTGCAGGGAATGACAAACACATGTGAGGATGCAAGCAAAGCTCACGGATCATCAATATGCAATGCTGAGCTAGAGAAACGGCAGGAAGAGGCTGGAAATGAGAAAAATCAATAGAATACAGTCTCAGAAAAGTCAAGGAAGACTTACACCTTGTATTTCTAAGAACTAAACCACAACAACAACAACAAAGAATGTTTTGTTAGGCAGTCACCCAAGTTCTATAATACTAATAAGAAAAAGTCATTCTTTGTTACAGAGCTTGAAACCTCTACAAGGAGATAAATGAGAGGATGGGCCGGAGGTGGGAAGATGGGAAATGCAGAACCCTGAGATCTGTGCGGTGACCAGCTGTTCACATCCTTCCAAGCAGTCATGACCCAAAGGGATCCAGGGATGTGATTCTTACCCTCTCGCACAAAGATCATTCTGCTACAAGTGTTTTTCTAATTGTGATCTATCCTTTTATTGATGTTGACACCTGCCTCCTTGTAGCCTGACACTGCTAGGTCACTCCTTAGAAGCCACACAGAACTTATTAACTCCACAAAAAAGCATATTCAGTCCCCTTTAAAATGATTTTCCAGAAGGTCAGATATTTAGAAGCAGTGACAGTGCTGTCCTCTACTTATCTTCATCTACAGTCTTCATCCTCTTTCTCTGTTTCCAGAACCTGCCATCTTGCACCTGTTCTGTGACTCTTCTCCAGCTATCACTATCCATATTAGAACTGTGCTCACAAAGAATGTACCTAGGACTTCTTTAGCTATGACTTTATAAGACTGCAGCAGGAGGAGCTCAATGACGCTGGCTGAGCTCGGTCTCCTGCTGTTTCTCTTCCCCACCCATCTGCCTGCAAGGCAGCCTGTTTGTTGTGTCACAAAGAGATACATAATCCACACTGAGTGATTTCATCGGTATAAAGAGTGTCATTCTTCATCACCCTATCATTTCTGATTAAGATCACTCAGTCTAATGTACATTACATCTTGTACCAATAATGCCTGCTCGATGCTTCATGCTCCCTATGCCTCTTGCTAGACATTACCTTATTATGTACTCAACAGAGAGAAAATTCTCAAAGAGGGAGATTAAACTGAGGCCCAGTGGCTAAAGGCAGAGAGAAAATTGGAAATGTGGTGTTTTACTTACTCTGAAAAATGGTGCCAAATGAGGACATCCAACCACCTGGCTTGAAGTCTGGGTTCTCATTACTTACCCTCCGTATATGTTCAAAGGCAAAATCAACAACAATAAGAAATAATAAGTATAATAAGAACTAATAACTGCTTAGTTCATACCAATCCCCAAATCTGCTTTCAGGAGCTGTATGTCACATAATACACATGCTAAGCTTTTGGAGTGGTAAACACTATCCATTTTAAAGATAAAAAAAAAAAAGAAGGCAAGCAACTTTATTGACTGGTGGATTGTAACGAACTTGATTCTAATGTTCAAATCCTTTCCAGTCAAATCCTTTCCTCTCTATAGGGCATATTATAAGCTATGTAGAGAGGACATGTGGATTGTGGGAATGTGTGCTGTTTATTTGTGAGTCTATTGATGCCACTAGAGCATTCAGGAGGGCAAAGGAGAATGAGAGGAGAGAAAGGCCACATGCTATGCAATGTTGGCCTTTATGTCTTGGATGGAGCTGAAATGCATCCATACAGCTTCTGTCACTAGCATATTTGGAGCAAAAGCACGATTCAAGGTGACTGATCAGCCTAAGAAAGCAGTGTTTTCAAGCACTTTTAATACCATTCCAGCAGCATTCACTTGTATATAAATCATGTGGTAATTTATTCATTAAAATAACCTGTACATAGCAACATTTTATTAACCTTGGTTTACGTTAATAAGCTGTGCACTTGTGTTTTTAATATATCTCAGGAAATAATGATCCTGGAACTCTGATTTTCTTCCCACAGAGACTAAACTGTTATCAAATCCCCAACCTGCATTCCCCATCTCCTGAAACCAAGTTCACATTAGAGTGTTTAGACGCTTTGGGAAGCTATGGTTGTGGACCGCACCTACTCCTACACTCACATTTGCATCAGAATCACCTGGGAGGGTTTTCACACATGTAATGATTGACTTCTATATTCCTCTGCCATCTATCCAAACACAATATCTCAAAGATAGCCCTGAGAAATACGAGTTACAGGCCCTAGGTCACAAACCAGCCATACCGTGGCTACACAATGTCCACCCAAGTTCACTGCAAGTATTGGAAAACATATCAAAAGATCAACCAAGTCTCAGAACAGACATCAAAGAATTTCATCATTAAATGCCAAACTCTCATTCTTTATTTTCAGTGTTTGCATAGCCATTTTATATCCCAGTTAATTAGGAAAAATCCTATGAATGTACACAGAGATGTACAGTCCATGAGGCCTCTGGGTACAGGTTGAAGGTCTTCATATAGTTGGCAGAAACACATAATAAACAACCAAATTTTAAAATACAAATGGAAATTGTTTCCAAAGAACCAAAAGAAGAGTATCAAATGCATGACTAATATCTACTTGTTCTACCCAAGGCAGACATTGCTAATAAATCTAAGCACCTTTCCTTGTTATAACCAAAGTGCTATTAAAATAAGCACTCCAGGGTGCTAGCACCATCTCACCAGCTCTCATATGTGTGGAATATATTTTTCCTTCTTTGACTATTTGCAGAATGTAAACTGAAATGACTTTACATTTTCTTCTAACCTACTCTATCATAGGCTGTGTTCCACACAACAGACACTGGAAGGTTCTCTGGCAGACAAGACCTTAGGGTAGATCACATAGCCCTTGATGTTCATACAGTGTTGATTTGACATTTGTATCTTTTGATGAAGAGACAACAACATCATCCAACTTCTATAATGTTAAGGCGATTCAAGTCACACACATGTAATTTAAATCAACTTGGTTTCTGTCGAGGATAACTCAAAGTTCCACTTTGAATATATGCTCTTTAGAGAGACAAGTTTTCTCTAAGAGTGTGGTAAGTACAAAGTCAGCATGTTTTTGTATGTGTATGGTGTGTACATGTGCCAGAGGTTGCTACTGCTATCTTTCCCTCTCCTTCCCTCCCTCCCTCCCTCCCTCCTTTTTTTTTTTTTTGAGATAGGGTTTCATTGGCTTTGCAGCTCACTGATTTGGCTATAGTGGATGGGCAATGAGCTCCAGGTATCTGCCCATTTGCTTCATAGGCATTTTGTTCCTAGTGCTGGGGTTACAAACGTGCATGGACTTCCATTCTCTACTTTTTATAGGGGTTTTGGAGAGCCAAACTCAGGTTTCCATGCTTGCAATTGAGCCATTTCCCCAGCTCCAAAAGTTAGCATATTTGTCTCAAAGACTCACATGTCAGTCTGCTTGATTTCTACTGTTAATACTTTACATTGCCTGTAGAGATTGAAAATCATGTCTTCACACAGATATTAAGTGTCCTGGTAAACATGACAAGGCAGAAATCACAAGGACACTTGTCTTGCTATTGGGTTTCATTAGAGCAAAAAAAAAAAAAAAATCATTATAATTCAATTATTTTAGGTTCTCCTGATGGTCACTCTTAGCTTGTTAGCTTCTACTGCCACTGCCCAAGTTCTGCTGGGTAGAATACCATTTAAGAGCATGTCTGGGTCTGGGGTGACATCTGGTTGACTGGGTTGATTTCATACACTGACAGTCCTTGTGATCAAATAATAAGGATAGACTCACCTCATCGTAGATACTGTCATTCCTGCGGAAGTCCCCTGCCTTCCTGGGAAGAATGTGGACATGTACATGCTGAAAATACAAAAGAAAGAAAATGTGTTTAATTTCCCTTCTGTCTTTTGACTTGACAGTGATGCTTTCCTGGAGGCCAATTACTCTCCCCTGGTTCTTGCTGGATTATTTTTCAGAGGAAGATGATGCTCACCTTCAGAAAGCACATCTGAAATCTGCCGAGAATAAAGAAACACAAAACAAGAGGGAACAACTTGGCAGCATACTGCAGTCTGAGGGAAATGCCAGAGTGCATTACAGGCTCTGTGGAATTATCCGTCACTGTCAGTCTGGGTTGTAGTTAGCCAGTGCTTTGAAATGACAGTATGTCTTAAGAGATGGCTGCTGTAACTCTGAAACTGACAAGAGATAAGAATTGGCCAACAGAGAACTGCATAAGTAACCTGTGAATTAGTGATTGGAGGAAGTAGTATGGGCTAAATCAAGAATAGTGGCTTTGAATGACAATTACACAACTGCAATACAAACAGTTCTCATTTATTCTTACTGACTATGACAACTGACATTTGTATTAGTTCTGGATAGTTTTTTACTTAATACTTCCACACAGGCTTTCTAAAGTGTTCTTCATTTTAAAGAAAGGGAAACCAATGCTGAGAGAAGTCAAGGCTCTAGCACTACAGAAAGTGGTAGAATCCTTACAGAAAATGATGTCACACAGCTCTTGCCCTCTTGTTCTTTACCAGCATACATATTAATTCTGTGAACTTAATATTTTATTTATTTATTATTTTTTTATTTATTACAACTTATTCACTTTGTATCCCAGCTCATAGCCCCCTCCCTCATCTCCTCCCAATCCTACCCTCCCTCACTTTTCTCCTCCCATTCCCCTCCCCCAGTCCACTGATAGGGAAGGTCTTCCTCCCCTTCCATCTGACCCTAGCCTATAAAGTATCATCAGAACTGGCTGCATTCTCTTTCTCGGTGGCCTGGTAAGGCTGCCATCCCTCAGAGGTAATTGATCAAAGAGCCAGCCACTGAGTTCATGTCAGAGACAACCCCTGTTCCCCTTAGTAGGGTACCCACTTGGAGACTGAGCTGCCATGGGCTACATCTGTGCAGGGGTTCTAGGTTATCTCCATCCATGGTCCTTGGTTGGAGTAACAGTCTTTGCAATGATACCTGTACCAGAATTTTTGGTTCTGTTGCTCTCCTTGTGGAGCTCCTGTCCCCTCCAGGTCTTTCTATCTCCCCCTTCTTTCATAAGATTCCCTGCACTCTGCCCAAAGTTTGGCTATGAGTCTCATAGCTCTCATACCCTGCTGGGTAGAATATTTCAGAGGCCCTCTGTGGTAGGCTCCTTTCCTCTTAAATTGTGTGTGTGTGTGTGTGTGTGTGTGTGTGTGTGTGTGTGTGTGTGTGTAGGTCAGAGAACAACTGGTAGAGGTTCTCTTCTTCCACCTTGCTCATTCTTTGGATTGAACTCAGGTTGTCAGTCTTGGCAGCAAATACCTTCACCTGCTGAGCCATCTTACTGACCAGAACTTAATCTTTTAACTTCCTCATTTACCTAATCTAGTTTACTAAAGCACCCAGGTAATAGACATAACAGTCTTACTAGGCTGACAAGACTCAAGACTCACAGTATATCTAATTCAATATATATTCTTCAAGGCTAAGCTGCTATCTGAAAGTTTTACTCTACCAATGGCCTCTGTTGTACCTCTCTAAGCATAACCTTAGTCATGCCCTTGAGCTATATTCCTGTATTTATTACCAACTGCATAGAATGTAAAATGGAAAAACTTAAGTATGAAAAGACAAGAATCAAAGCACATCCCCAGTCCTGCCCACCCTACCTTGATTACTGTGGTTGGGGTGTAACCATGGACCTCCAGAGAACATGAAGTGTCTCTGTGGCTTTGTGTACAAGGACGGAAAGATAAGCTATTTCAGGAGAGGCAGTGAGCAAGGCTGTCCAAGGTGAATGAAACAAAGACAAGCTTCATGTAAATTCTTGCGCACACAGTCCCCAAACAGTGACATGTTTCTACCAAAATATTGTCCAGTCAAAGAAGAAGCCAGTCTCAAACCGCTCAGCAACTGAGATGCAGGTATACTTAAGTATCAGGCTACTCAAGTGAAGAGAGGGAGGCAGAAACAAACATGGAGAAATACGTTCCAAACTACCCAGGAAGCAAATTCGTAAAAGAAAGCCGTGCAACATGGGCCCAAGAAGAAATTAACTGTGCTCCTTAGCTGAATGATTCAGACATCAGAGCAGAGAAGCTGGGAGCAGAAGTGCCCCACCCAAGCTTCACTTGCAGATCCCACTGCAATTCTTTTTTTCTTTCCCTCCATTTCTTCCTCATCAAGACCCTTTTTGCTTTCTTTCTTGATGTCATCCACCTGTTCTCCACCATCTTCTTTACATTCTAGTCATCACAAGCCTCAGATCAATGTTCAGCCCTCAACCTGCTGGAGGACACAGATGTGATAGTAACAGCTTTTAACCAGAGTACAGTCTGCACACTATAGGTGGACCTCCCATTTACTAGCTGGGTTACCTGCCACAGGCATCCTGTGACTCAGAATCTTTCCCTAGGATGAGGACTGCAACATTCCCAACTTACTGGCCTAAAGCCTCAAGTCTGCTGAGCACGTTTGTCATTCACTTGTCGTGCTGCTTCGCAATGTTCTCACTATATGCGAATGTAGTGGGAATATCTTCAGTGTTAAAAAAAAAATCTGAAGACCAGAGGTCACATTCAGTCACTGGTGTTTATATTAGCAAGAATGTTATTTCCAAAATGCTATAAATGGTTAAAGCATCTCTTTTTGCCAGAATTACCTTGTTTCTTGATTAGTGTTTCTCAAACTACAGGAAATAACTGGGCACTGCTAAAATTAAGGGCCTCCTAATTTACTTTCTAATTAATTCCCCAGTGATGTTGGTCAAAAGTCACACTTTGAGAGCCATTGGCTAAGACCATCCATCTTGTTCTAAGGCATGCTGCTATGAAATGTTGAACACTGAAGTTAACACCTTGTTTGGCCTGCCCTGTTGGGTGATGCTGTTTTATGTGGAGCTCTATCCCCATGTACTGCCCAGGCAGGCTGTGCTGATCAACCTCCCTGTCTGTTCTTAAGGCCATGCCAATGAACTTGACTCTGATTCCCGATCTATTCCTTGCTCCTCTGGGTTCACTCATCAGAGCTATTTCTATATGCTGCTACCATTCAGTCTTGAAAATGCCACTCTCAATCACTGGCAACCATTTGAAACTTGCCATGACACCAAAGTCAGTAAACAGCTCACTGTCTAGGTGATTTTTCCCAAAGGGCGTGATCTCAACTCCTCCTGATACATGATACACTGACATAAACTCTTAAGTGACAGCCTAATTGCAGGATTCTGACAACCTGCTCAGCCTCTTAAGACAGAGAAATCATGACAAAGCCAGCTCAGAGCCTTGTAAGGAAGAGAAGAAGGACTAACCTAGAAATGTGGTAAGTATATAAACCAAGTTGGTAACTTACAGAAGCTCAGAAAGGGGAGAATGAGAGTGTGAGAGAATCATCAATATTATTCACCATTGTGGAATGCTTGAGTTGGTTTCAGTGAACCTGGAAAGACAATTCTTCAAAGCCCATGAAAAGATGGTCAGTGCCATTAGTCATTCGTGAAATGACAATCAAAACCACACAGAGATTCCACTTCACATCCATAGAGCATTTCTAATAAACACACAAACAAACAAAAACCAGACAAGTGCAAGTGTGGGCAGGACTGTGGACACATGGAAGCCTCCAACACTTTTGCACAGAGGACAAAATGATGCAGCTGTACGCTTGAAAAGCAGCTTGGCAATTCCTCAAAATATTAAACATCCAGCCACCAAATGACCCAAAATTATATTCCCAGCATTTACTCAGGAGAATTGAAACCATGCAGGCACAAAACCTTGTAATGCATATTTTTAGCAGTATTATTCACAATCATCAAAAAGTGGAAACAATCCAAAATGACTATCAACTGATGAATGCCCATAATAACAAGACAACGGTAGATGATTGGGCATAAAAAGGAATGAAGCTGCTAAGGAAAGGCATTATGCTAAGTGAAGGGGCTTAGATCGGAATGGCCATATATTACATGATTCCATTTATGAAGTGTTCAGACTAGGCAAATTCGCAGAGAAACAACAGTGTTTCCTGGAGCACCATAAAGACTGGCTGCCAATGCAAACAGGGTTTGTTTGAAGGTGATGGGTGTTTTCTTTTCTAGTGTCACATAGTAGTGAATAGTCTCACAATTTTTTAATGCATTAAACCCGCTGAATTTTTCACTTGAACAGTGTGAAGTGTATAAATTCTACCTCATTAGAGGTGTTGATAGGAATGGGAGGAGTAGCTGGACAACTGCGCTAAGATCCCCTTTTTCTGTTCTGCTGCTTCCTCCTGCATGTACTATTCCTTACGTCAGTGTTTTCTCACAAGTATCCATCACCTGAGGATAGTGATTACAATCAAAATAATGCGCCTTTTCCTCATTAGACTGCGGCATAATTCAATTGCAGGGAATTGACAATGGCAGGGAAAAGACAAAAAAACCCATAGGCTAGTGTCCCTTCCAGCTGGCTCCCTGCACTCCCAGTCATGAGAGCCTGCGTGAACACCTCTCTTCAACACTCACCTCTGAATAACGATAAAAGGAAAATTTGGCTTTAAGGAATAGTAACAATGATGCTGTAGGGGCAGATAGTGTGTTCTCCAAAGCTGCCAAATGCTGAGTTTCTTCTGTGAGTGACCAGTTTAGTCCCATGGAAGGACTCGATATAATCTAAGTCATGCATCCAAGACTCCCACTCCAGGGATAAGGAAAGCAGGCTATTTATGCATTGGTTAAGAACTGTTCTTAGAGAGGCAGGGATAGTCTAACATGTCTATTTCCTTTGCCCTGAGGGTAAAGAGTGACTTCCCATCCCAACCATTATCCTGATGAAACTCAGGCCAACAAGGGTGGATCACAGCCATAGAACATGGAGTCAAGGCGA